GTTTGAGTTCCTGAAATGTTTTATAACAATATCACTATTGTTCTTGCAAGATTTTAGTTTTGTATTTTAATTTCACTCTTTGAGTGATAGCTTTCAAAATTGGTATATATGGACCATTCTCAGCACTATTTCAATAATTCCTCATTAACTTGGCAGGAGGTTTATAGGTTTACATTGAGGAGAGGAGATGATTGGAATTGGGTAAGCTCACGATTAGCCCCAAACTCCTGCTAATTATCAAAATGAACTGGAGCCACTTTAGTATGGCACCTCTTGTCCAACTGCCCACATTTTTTCCATCTGGTCTATTTTAATGGCCCTATTTCCTCCTCCTCTTTATTGATTAGCGTGGCTGTTTTGCTCTTGAATCATCCAATGGCCAATAGCTACCTGCTTCACCTTAAGTGTAATAGTTCAAGTCAAGTGGAGTCCTGTAGTTCAGTGGTTAGAGCACTCGCTTTGCAAGTGAGAGACCTGAGTTCAATTCCAGGCAGGGCAAAACCTTGGGCAAGTTTCCTTACTCCACACGCCTAATAATAATCCCTCCAAAAAAAAAAACAATAATAAAATTGGTCATTTTCAATCCATATGACTGTTTGTGGGACATTGCTGTGCGCAATTGTCTGCCGCGTTCGCCCACAAATATACAGTCAATTCACTTTACAGTATGTTCTGTGAAGCGCTTTGGGACGTCCTCCCGACGTGAAAAGCGCTATATCAAATGCAAGGATTATTATTATTAAGTGTGTATAAGCCTTAGCTAGTGTTGTAACACTGATACTCAATAAATAAACGACAGAGTATTTGGCAGAATGCAAACCACCAATCTTATGCCATTTGTATTAATAGGTTTGTCATAGTGGAGAGCAACAATGTAGAAGCGATGAAGAAAATGACTGCAGTGTTATTTTATGATTGGCTCAAACCAAAATAATATGGGTTTTCCACCACCTTTGCCTCTTATATGTATTTACATTTGTATACTCTTTTCCTTATTCCTCTTTTTTTAAATTTTCTCACTGTTTCTGCTTAAAGTAGAGCATGTGATTAGCACTGATGATGTGACACCACTCACAGAAATTTGGGTTTCAACAATTGATCACTGGCAGATGAGATTTGGCATACAAAATTGAGAATTCTTGCATTTCTCCAGGATCATGCTTCACTAAATACCTAACTTGAGAGGTGCCTATACAGTGCACATCTTTATTTGCATCCTGTACCAAGATTGGTATAATAATTGGAAACTCAATGATTTATTTACATTAACTTTGTAGAGTTTTTAAAAGATTCAGAGAGGTATGTAATTTTAAATAGTAAATATTCATTTTTTGTGACTACTGAATGACCCTTCCATATTGAACATGGCATGGTGTTTTTGAATAATAGTTCAGTAAAGACCAAAGGCTTTTATATCTTTACCCAAGTGTTTATTTGCATCATCTATTATAGCGCATTGTTCAGTGTTAAGACAACCAGTTCCTTTGAGAAATAATTTCCAGCTTCAGAATTCAAATGTTACAAAACATGTAATCAAGTAAAATTGATCAATGCTTTGGGCAGTAATTCGCTTTCCAACTTTATGCAAGAATAATTTAGTGGTCACTATATTAATGAGAAATAGCTGCATTACAACCAGTTCCCCAAAATAAGAGTATGATCAGAACAAGCCCTTTATTCAACTCTCCTGATTTCACCAAGGGCCAGGGTAGGATACTTCCAGTTTGTCTTGGTCAGGAAAACCAGTTCACAGAGACACATCATTTAGCTACTACAATGAAAACCAGCTACAGAATGAAATAACAGAAAGTTTTCTATTGAGGATCCAACTTGCAATGCTTCTGCGTCTGACAAACCCTTAATAACAGAATTAGCAACTTTGCCTGTGTTAAGGTTCGGTTTAATAATAATAATCCTTGCATTTGTTATGGTACCTGGGGTTTCACATAAGCAAATCTTTGAAGGTGGCAGGACAGGTAGATAAAGCTGTTAAAAACACATACAGGATACTCAGCTCTATAAATAGTGGAATAGAATACAAAAGTCAGGAAGTTATGATGAACCTTTATAAAACACTGGTTAGATCTCAGCTAGAGATTGTGTTCAGTTCTGGGCACCACACTTGGAGCAAAGGATCCTGGTACCAGGATGGTACCAGGAATGAGGGACTTCAGTTATGAGGAGAGGCTGGAGAAGCTAGGATTTTTTTCTTTGGAGCAGAGACAGTTAAGAGGAGATTTAATAGAGGTTTTCAATATTATGAGGGGATTCGATACAGTGAACAGAGGACACAGATTTAAAAATTTTCACAGCAAGTTGTTCGGAGCTGGAATACATTGCCTGAAAGAGTGATGGAAGCTGATTTGATAACAACTTTCAAGAGAGAAGTAGATAGATATTTGGGAAGGACAAATTTGCAGGGCTATGAGGAGAGAGCAGGGGAGTGGGACTAATTTGAGCAGCTCTTTCAAGGACCCTATATGGACACGATGGGCTGAATTCCCTCCTTCTGTGCTGCATAATTCTGTGATTCTATGATTCTGGTACCTTAACATGTAACCAAAACTTCTCACAGCGCTTCACAGGATATACTCTAAAGGGTAGTGACTGTGCATTTTTAGGCAGTGTATATGAAAGATGGTTCAATCTCTTGGTCCATTTCTGCTTTTTAACTTAATGCTGAGACAGATGCTTTCTGGATGTATACAACAAATGAAAATGAAACTGTGTCATAGGAGACACATTTGTTATGTACCAAACAGCCTGGGCAGAAACAAAAAGTGATTGTAACTGTGACCTTTCAACCAGCCGATCCTCTAGGGTGATTTTGATGTATTTCCCTGATAATCTACCGATTTGAAAAAGACGTCTTGAACTTCATTGTACTGTTAAGTGTTACATTTATATGCTGCCGACCAGCATGGAGCCAAGAAGAGTTAATTACGATCACTGTTGAGTTAACTGATTTCAGACAGGGCAGCAGTTGGGGTACTACATTTGGCTTCAGTGCCTCTGGATTGGAGGGGTTGGGGGTGATATATCAGCCAGAACTCCATCCACATCATTCGATGACCTCTCTGAGAGTGTGGCCTTTGGATGAAAAGAAAATTGTCCACAGTCAAATAACCTAATACTTATTGTTTCGGTTGCACAATTAGAATGATCACTTGAACAAAGTGCTGTCTATGTGAGGGTTAACGGTATTCACGTAAGCTTAACCCCGTATAAATGAGTACCTCCAAGAGAAGAAGAAGGGGATAAAGGGAGAAAATAATAAGGCACATTCTAAACTGAATGGCAGCATGGTTAGATATGATGAAAGAGATAACGCTGTGGGCTGTCCCTTTGAAATGAACGTTGAAAAGAAAACCTTCAGCTGATACTACTGCTGTGCACAAAATAGTCCGTAAGACCAGCCAATTGTTTTTACTTTTTAAAACCAAAGTCTGACTATTTTAAAAATCAAAATAACTGCTGAAAGCAATTAGAAGATCTTTCATAGAAAGAGCTTTATTTTCTTTGAAACCGCTGACCCCTGCAGCAACCTTGGTCTGCTCCCATGGGATTGCAGAAGAAGTCTTTTAATGTGTGAATTTTTAATTTTATTTTTTGGTGTAGCTCACTCACTGGAAACAAAAGCAATCGCTTTAAATTTGATTTAGCAAGCTGTCCATTTTAATACCTCAAAAACGAAATGGATTAAAAACGCAATTTCTGCATTTTGGCGTGTAGATCGATTTTCAAAAAAATGCAGTGGGGTCACGCAGCTTGAATATCTATTCTGAAAATAGGAAGTTGTTAACAGAAGCATTGCTGAGCTGGATAACTGGGAGATCATTTGTGATGCCACAAAAGCGTCTGATTTCATTAATGATGGCTTCAGGGAATCATATTTTATCCTGAAACCTGCATGGAATTCTAATGGCATCATTTAATTTGATGCTATGCAACGACATAGAAAAATGTCAGAGAAATTCACCAAAAATTTAATTCTGCACTGAACAGCTGAATATGCTGTGCCACTTCAAGTTGAAATCATATGTTGAAATCTTGAAGCAGACAGCTACGTGAGGATCCATATAGACTGTGGATGTCTTCCTTGAAGGCGCCAAGGCAAAATTGCATTTTTATTATTATGTCAAAATTATGGATAGATCTTGTGATATATTGCCAGCAGCCTATAAAGGACTAATGTAGTTAGGTTTTCTGAACTGGATACATTCATGCAAAACATTGGTTAGGCCTCAGCTGGAGTACTGCGTCCAGTTCTGGGCACTTTACTTCAGGAAGGACATTAAGGCACTGGAAAGGTTGCAGAGGAGATTCACGAGAATGATACCAGGAATGAGGAACCTTAGCTATGAGGACAGGCTGGAGAAGTTAGGACTTTTCCCATTAGAGCAGAGAAGGTTACCCGGGGACCTGATAGAGGTCTTCAAGATCATGAAAGGTTTCAACAGGCTAGATAGGGAAAAGCTGTTTCCGCTGGTAGGTGTGTCTGTGACCCGTGGTCACAGTCTTAAGATATCTACCAAAAGAAGCAGAGGGGAGGTTAGAAGAATTTTTTTCACTCAGCGAGTTGTTCAAATTTGGAATGATCTGCCTGAAAGGGTAGTGAAGCTCGAGTCATTCTCTAACATTGAAGAGATGTGACCAGGATGTTAGTCCTCTGCAGAATCCTGACAAGACCAATACTGTTTAGACTTCTCATTCTTAAACTAAACTTCTGGGCGTATACCAGGAACACAAGAACTATTGAGACCTAGGATTCTGCACTGAGCAAAAGATCAGTACAGAATATCAACAGTAAAACTTTATCCAGCACTTCCGCAGGTCTGTGGACTTCTCGATGTGACAGATCTGTTGTATGAACTTTATGGAAGCTTCATTCAGTAGCTCTTTATTTTGCAGAAGTTGAAATTCAGAGTTTAATGCAGCATTTTTCAATGTTGGTTTATATTTTAATAACCGAATTCTCCTCTCTCCAAACAAACTCCAAGAATGATTTACAGATTAGAACTGTCAGACAGCCTTCAAGTGCCAGAATGAGTCTCACAAACTCTGAAGCCTGGGTGCTCAATTTCGGTTTAGTAAGCAACTCCAAGAAAGAATCCCAGAGTTCGGGGTCAGGATCCTCTGGAGGAACCGTAAAAGCTTCTTCAGCAGAACGAGAATTGAAAAGAATCCCTACTCCTGTACTGATCAAAACAGACCCAGAAAGATTTCGGAGCAGCATTACTCCAATGCGCAGCAGATCCCCTGCTAGACAAAAAGTTTCAGACACAGTGGCAACAAGTGTGGCAAAGATAAAAGGTCAGATGAACCACTCCAGAACATCAGTGGTCAAGAAATCGTTAAAAGAAATCCCGAAGGAGGATCCAAGGCTTACCTCAGAAAAATCTGTAAGTTTCAATGAATCAAAAGTTTTTCATTCTTCCTAACTGTGTTACAGTTTAGTAAACTGGGGATTTTCCTAAACAATGTTAACAACAAGCACACTAATGCCTGTGATAATATCGATTGAATACAAGTTAAAGCTTCCTCAGTGACGCTACAACTATTTGCCTTCTTTAGGGAGAAATTCTACCTGGATCTAGATTGACTATTTACAGAGCATTTCAGGGTCCTGTAGCTCAGTGATTAGAGCACTCACCTTGCAAGCAAGAGACTTGGGTTTGATTCCCAGCTGGGTGAAACGTTAGGCAAGTTTCCTTACTCCACATGCCTCTGTTTACCTAGCAGTAAATAGGAACCCGGTTGTTAGTTGATTAGCAGATTGCTTTTCCGGGGATAATAATCCCTAAAAAAATTATAATAATAATTTGGTCACTCAATCCACGACTGTTTGTGGGTCACTGCTGTGCACAATTGGCTGCTGCGTTTTGCCTGCAAAATATACAGTTAATTCACTTTACAGCATATTCCGTGAAGCACTTTGAGACGTCTAGAAGATGTGATAAGGCGCTATATCAAATGCAAGGATTATTATTGCTAACTAGAATTTGGCAAATTGTTGAGTACAGTCTTAACTTTGAAGTTTTTTGGTTGTTCTTAAACTTAAAGAAAAGCGGCTTCAAAATTAAGAGTGGATTTAAGAATTTGCCAAATTCTGTATTTGTAAAATGGACTTGAATAGAATCTCTCCCCCACTCAGATTAGAGAATTTCCTTGAGTGCCAATGAGACATTTTGTTTCACCACTGAGGTGCATGACACTTTTCTGCTAGAGGTACATGAGAAAACAGAATAAGAATATATCATTTGATTCTTCCACAGGTCATATAAATCTGTATTATAGAATCTATCAAACATGCTTCATTTTCCAAGGACGAGTTTTGCAAAGTTTTTTTTCTCTTTCTGCCAATTTGTAGACCATTCTGTGCTATAGGCACTTTATCCACTTTATACAAGAAATGTCTGTTTGTCTTAAACAACCTGCATATGGGAAAAAAAAGTTCACTTATCAGTTTCTGTCAATTTGAATAAAGTGTTGTCACCAAAAAGATGTTTCAACCGCACATTTACACCAAGTTCCTTTCTTTTTTTTAAAAAAGTCAATTCAATTAATAATAGAAAAAAGTTGAAGAATTCAAAGGTTCAATTTTCAAAATTCACTTAATTTTAATCACTTAGGGTCATACTACTGGTTACGGTTCAGCAGCACACCAATGTACACTCTGGAGACCCCAAGCTCTGGCTCTCGCCAACCTACACTTAATATTCTCCAAAGGATGTGGCTCTCCAGGATGAGAGTGTGCATTTCATTCCAGACATGGGAATTTTTTCATGTGTAAATGGATACACTTAAGCATGGGTTTCCACATCTATCAGATACCAAAATAAAAATTGTGAAGCACTATCGTGTGTTATCTATCACTTTAAGCGCTTTGAGACGTCCTCTCAACATGAAAGTCGCTATATAAATGTATTTTAAATTATATTGTATTGTAAATTATATTGTATTTTCTGAATAATATTTACTGGTAATTTAAGTCCAATTACTCAATGCTGCTATTGTTGGCCTTAGTCTTGATTTTTTCCAGTTGATGCATTGATCCACTGTGGACAAATCCTTTGTATGTTTCTGAAATTAAATTTCACTGAAGAACAGGCATCAATAGCTGGCAAGAAATAACCAATCATTAGTAGGAACTCGGCAGATCAATTATACATATGATTTAATATTTGCGGACCAAAACGGCAAATACGATTACAAAATGAAGTATATAGTTTTAGATTGGGTGGGTCTGTGTAATAAAATAAATAAAAGCAATAGATTGATGGAGATGTAGAAAGATGTGTGGTCTGACACTGGCCAGAAGACACAGTGAAAGAAGCAAGATGCCAGAAGCTAAACCTAAAGGCAGAGAGAAAAATCTGGAGCAGTTTGTTTGGTTCAAGTATTCTTCCTATCAGTGTTTGAAAATGATACATATATGGATGGAACAGTTGTGACAGATAATGCTTCCCTACGACTTTCTTTTCTCTTTAGGAATAACGCGCTCATGGCAATTGATTTATGGAATAGACTGCCACCTAATGGAGTAAATAAACACACACTTGAAGGATTCAAAGGGGAAACCAGTAGATTGAGACAGCAATTTGATGACAGAGTGAGCTGGATGGGTTGAATGGTTCTTCAATATCAAAGCATTTTGTAAGATGTATTAGCATCTGTTCTGACAGAAGTAAAACAGATTTTTTTGTACCTATGAATAATGTAAAACATGTCTCTTTGCTTGTGTATGTGTTTGTTTATATATTTCACACTCTCTCTGTATTTCTCTTCCCTCTCTATCCACTTGTGCCTCTTTCACTTCATGCCAGTAATAGTTGTCAGTCTCTCTCTGTCTGCTTGTGTTTCTCCTAGCCTGTCCCATCTTTCTCTGTGTCTCTCTTTTCCTTGTATATGTCTCTCACTTTCTATCTGCGTGTTTGGCTTACTTCGGTTTCTTTGTCTGTGTGTGCTGTGTGTGTATGTGTAGATCTCTCTGTATCTATCCCCTGAATTGAACACTAATAATATGAAAAAATAGGATGAACTATAAGGGTGCCAATCAACTGAAAAACTCTAAATGACATATTACCAGCATTTAATGAAACTACATTATAAATGAGATATCTAGGGAGTACATTAATAACTGTCCAGACAATGATTTCTGTAGGGTCAGGCATGGAAATTAAATTTAAATTGTATTTAAGAAAGGTGCAGGCCTGCATGTAATGCCTGTCTTGGTAAATCGTACAAGCTGCAATTCTCAGCATAATGAAACTAAAGTGAAATGTAGTGTCAAGGCTATTACCTGGAGCATTGGGAAAGTTTGTGCTGAATTGGGTTCGGTCTGATTAGTAATTTTTGCAAATGAATAGTATTCAAAATAGTACCGCACTTCACATAAACCAGAGGAATGTTGTTACACATTTTTGGAGGTGGGGGAGAGGGGGAAGGATTTGCAGTGTGTAACTGAAATAAAATATTTCCTAAAAGTAAAAGTTGCTATCTCTCTTCTCCCACCCCTCACCCCTCCAACCCCATTATGGTTTTAGAATGTAAAAATCACAATTTCCAGATTTGATAAATTTAATAACTCAAAAAGAGGAGATTGAATTTTGAGGAAATCAAATGAGCTTTCTGGACTGCAGTTCCATTTCTGTAGATTTTGTTGAAATTCATTTAAAAAGTACAATGTCTTTTAAAAGCTCTCTGTTCTGTAGACGGTGTGTTATCTGAAAGCTGAAAGTCTCTTCTTAGTCAAAGTGTCAAAGCCAGATAAAATATTCTAATATATCTTCTGAAATCTAAAACTTCAAACCTTAATAGAGTGGCTAGGCCATTCTGGTGAACAGCAGATTGCTTTGCTGCAGATTCGCAGAAGCTTGCCTTTTGGGGAATCTGAAAGCATAAAGTTTACTGTGTTTGATATATTCTAATAGGCAGATTATTGAATCGAGCACAATTTGCCATCTTGACCCAGAAATGTGAGAAATAAGTTATGATTGATAGATTCTGAACTAAGCATATTATAGAACATTCCCATTCACCGGGTAGATTAATATTCATCTGCAAATGTAGAACAAATAGGAATTTAAAATGGTCATTTCTGATAACAAGAATTTCTCACAGAGAAATGCTTTCAATTTTATTATCAGAACTGTTACTTTGTCTTACTTCCCGAAATGTCCAATCCTATCTTTGTTGCCATCAGAGCGAGGATCGTGCCAGACACAAAAAAAAATGGTCATTTGTGTGTGTGTCATCACAGCTAGTGTTTAATCAACCCTGCAGTAAACACATTTGAACATTGCTCTAAAAGAGCATTAAATCACAGTTCAACAAAGAAATAGAAAATGTGAGGTGGATCGAAGGCAGGCATGTTTTTTGTCTACCAGACAAATGGTGATTTTGAACCAGCAAGGCGAGGACAGAAATATCAAATGTATGTATAATGTAGGTGTTAGTTAAGATGCAGTTAAAGTCTAGTGTAGGAACTTGCATTGATATAACCCTTTTCATAAATAGATGAACAGTACCCCAGGGCACATAAGCAGACAAGGCAGGAGATTTGTGTAGCACTGAAGGAGCTATGAAGGAGCCAATCACCACTGGTGAGATTCCAATAGACTGGAAACAAGAAAATGTTGTGTAATCTGGGTCAATATAAATTCTCACTTAGAAAAATATAGTTCAATAAAGGACAGTCAACACAGATTTGTTAAAGGCAGATCGTGTCTGACAAACCTAATAGAATTTTTTGATGAAGTGACTGAGAGGGTGGATGAAGGTAGTGCAGTAGATGTAGTTTATCTAGATTTTCAAAAGGCATTTGGCAAAGTGCCACATAAGAGACTTATAAACAAAATAGAAGCCCACGGTATTAAAGGGACTGTGGCAACATGGATCCAGAACTGGCTTGGAGACAGAGAGCAGAGAGTGGTAGTAAACGGTTGCTTTTCTGACTGGAGGGAGGTGTGTACTGGTGTCCCTCAGGGGTCGGTATTGGGACCACTGTTCTTTCTGATCTATATTAATGATCTGGACCTGGATATAGGGAGCACAATTTCCAAGTTTGCAGCTGATACTAAGCTAGGAAAAGTAGTAAATGGTGAGGAGGATAGCAACAGACTCAAAGAGGACTTAGATAGATTGGTAAAATGGGCAGAAACGTGGCAGATGAGGTTTAATGTGGAGAAATGCGAAGTGTTGCATTTTGGTAGGAAGAATGAGGAGAGGCAATATAAGCTGATGGTACAATCTTAAGGGGGTAAATGAACAGAGAGACCTGGGGATCCACATAAGCAAATCTCTGAAGATGGCAGGACAGGTAGAAAGCTGTTAAAAAAGCATACTGGATACATAGTGGCGTAGAATTCAAATAGGGCTATAGAATTCAAAAGTCAGGAGGTTATGTTGAATATTTATAAAATGCTGGTTAGGCCTCAGTTGGAGTACTGTGTTCAGTTCTGGGCACTGCACTTTAGGAAAGATGTTAGGGCATTGGAGAGGGTGCAAAGGAGGTTTACCAGGATAGTACCAGGAATGAAGGACCTTAGTTATGAGGAGAGGTTAGCGAAACTAGGATTATTCTCCTCGAGCAGAGAAGAGGATTTAATAGAGGTTTTCAAGATCATGAGAGGATTTGATAGGTTGAACCGGGAAAAACTGTTTCCACTGGCATGTGGGTCAGTAACCCGAGGACACCGATTTAAGATAGCTGTTAAAAGAAACAGAAGGGAGGTTAGGAAAACTTTTTTCACTCAGCGAGTTGTTCGGATCTGGAATTCATTACCTGAAAGGGTAGTGGAAGCCGATTCAATAACAACTTTTAAGAGAGAAGTAGATGGGTATTTGGGGAGGACAGGATTGCAGGGCTATGGAGAGAAAGTAGGCCAATGGGATTGAGTTGGATTGCTCTTTTAGGAGCCGGCGCAGACACGATAGGCCGAATGGCCTCTTTCTGTGCTGTATGATTCTATGATTCTACCTATTCAAGAAAGGTGACAGGACCATACCTGGTAACAATAGACCCATTAGCCTGACCTCGATGATGGCTGAAGCCTTGACTGCTGATGATGAGTGAGAAGGGTGAGAAACATGCAGTAGTCTGCCAAGCAGAGGGGATAAGCAGGAGGAGAGTGAGTTAGGTTGGAGAAGGTCACAGAGGTAGGGAAAGGTGAGGGCATTTGTAGGTGAGAATGAGGATATTGAAGTCAATCCAGCATAGTAATATGGCTATGGGCCAAGGTACAGTATGTGGAACTTCATGGTTGTAATATAGCACTTTTTTCTAGATAATCGTTCTTTATATTTCATCTTACTGTGTATGTCAGCAGAAACAGTAGTGTAAGCATTTAAAAAGAGTATTTTTGTTTCTTAATAAAGTAAAATAAAGCACCTATTACACATAGGATCATAGAATTTTACAGCACAGAAGGAGGCCATTCGGCCCAAAGTGTCTGTGTTGGTTCTTTGAAAAAAGCTATCCAAATCAATCCCACTCCGACTCTCTCTCCCGATAGTCCTGTAAATTTGTCCTCCCCAAATAATTATCTACTTCCTTCTTAAAAGTTATCGAATCAGCTTCCACCACCCTTTCAAGCAATGCATTTCAGATCCAAACAACTCGCTGTGTGAAAAAATTTTCCTCCCCTCCGTTTCTTTTAACAACTATTTTAAATCAGTGTCCTCATGTTATTGCAGCACTCGCCAGTGGAAACAGTTTCTCCTTGTTCACCCTATCAAATCCCCTCATAATTTTGAAAACTTTGAATAAGTCTCCTTTTAACCTTCTCTGCTCCAACAATAATCCTAGCTTCTCTAGTCTCTCCTCATAACTGAAGTCCCTCATTCCTGGTACCATCCTGGTAAATCTCCTTTGCACCCTCTCCAATGCCTTTGACATCCTTCCTAAAGTGTGGGGCTCAGAACTGAACGCAGTACTATAGCTGAGGCCTAACCAGTGTTTTATAAAACTTCATCGTAGCTTCCTGACTTTTGTATTCTGTGCCCCTATTTATAAAGCCTAGTATCCCATATGCTTTTTTAACAGCTTTATCTACCAGTCCTGCCACCTTCAAAGATTTACTTATATGACCCCCAGGTCTCTCTGTTCCTTCATCCCCTTTAAGATTGTACCATCAGCTTATATTGCCTCTCCTCATTCTTCCTCCTAAAATGCATCACTTCACATTTATCGACATTAAACTTCATCTGCCACGTGTCTGCCCATTTGACCAGTCTGTCTATGTCTTCTCGCAGTCTGTTACTATCCTCTTCAACATTTACTACTTTTCCTAGCTTAGTATCATCTGGAAACTTGGAAATTGTATTCCCTATACCCAAGTCCAGGTTTTTATATAGATCAAAAAGAATGGTCCCAATGCTGATCCTTTGTCAAAACTATCTGGATTAAGTATCTGATAGTGACTCATTTGGGTAAGTAATCATTTTCTTAATGCAAAAGGGATCAAATATTTTGGCTCATGTGTGAGAGTGAGGATTTTGAGGATGTTTTTCCCCATAAGGAAGGGCAGAAGCAGGTGAATTTCCAAAAACCTCAGGGCACAGTATGATATATACTCTATCAATAAATCAATTTAAATTCCAAATTTAGGAACATGTCTTTAGACCTCAGGTCCTCTCTGTGCTTGTACCTTTCACGAATTAATATAAAAAATCCTAGACTGATGTTGTTTAAACAGTCCACCTGTTTAATTGCTGGCATCATTATTTGGTTTTGCATCTGTGTCATTTATTTTATTTGAATGCTCTTAAGTAAAGCAATAAAATGCCCCTGAGCATGAATTTGACCTCGGCATAGTTATGGCATCCTGTTGGAAGAAAGGGAATAAGTATAGCTGCACTTGACTTTGATTTAAAATGACCTTCACTTAATTGAAAGTAACATGCTACCCTTAAGACTGAATTATAGCTGAGCGTATAACTGGTGACAGAAGACTTGAGATGAATGCAGACCTGATCTAAGCTTTGAATCCCAATGAACCAAACTACTTTCTCCTTAGTCCCTCTGAACTTGATTCAAGCAAATATTTTGTTTTCCAGAGTTTGAGGTCCAAAAATGGATTAAACTCAGTTGCCCATAATTGTTTTCCCATGTATAGTTAGAAGGTTACAGGTGGTGGTATTTAACGACATTTAATTTAAGACATTAATATTTTACAAAACAAGGAAAAAACATTTAGGTAAACCCACCAGAAGCTTTGACCACATGGAGTTGAGTAAAATGTTGGTGTTCCAATGTGCACATTGTTAGGCAGCAATGCCAAGCTTATATATTGAGCTCCTGAATCCCATTCTGTGGTATCAGGGGCAAAAGACTAGTAAAGACCAAATAGTTCCCACAGAGAGTATGGAGAAATAAAAAAAACTCCAGATTTAATAACGATGGACACAATGCATCAATGTTGGGAATTACTACATACAATATGAAAGGGGTTTGATGTTGAAACAATTCATTGGGGACAATGGGAAAATAAAAATATGGCATTTGATTAGAAGCTGAGAGAGAGAAACTGAGATAAAGTCTGCAGGGGGAAGGAAGTGAATATTCTCCTTGTAAAATTCCTTCTCATTTGCTTATCAGAACTTTTCTATTTTGAGTTTTGTAACTAGTTGGAGAAACTTTTAATCTCTCCTCACCACCTCACAATGGCACAATGACCTGCCATTTTATGTCTGCAATTCACCAGAGACCTGCTCAGTTACATGATCTGTCAACATAGAGCTTTGTAGAGTCTTTTCTGATCAGCATCATTTCAATCCTTTATGGTGATCAGATGGCATCAGCAGCTTTATAATTCTGCACCAGCCAGTTACTGCTTTGCACTCGTCTCATACGGAACTATATCTCTGAGTACCCCTCCCTCCCATTAATGAGAATCAGAGCCGAAATTGGAACAAGGCACCATATGATTGAGCTCTAGGCTGACGTCAGCTGAGTGATTTCTCTGGTGAGCTTCCAACCCCAAAATAGCAGGTCTCTGCAGAGTCTCAGAAGAGATTAAAAGTCACATTTCTTCCTTCAAAAAACATTTTTGAAACAATTTCTTTTGATAACTAAAATGAAAAGTTCTTTTGATTTAAAAAAAATCTTTCCCCTATAAGTCCGTTGCAAAGAATAGTATTTGATGTAGTTTGGTATGTAGATTGTGATTGTATTTTCCACTGATGTTTTGTGAAGAAGGAATTGTCATAGAAACCTGCTTTCAATTGGCAGATCGCTAAAGGACATTGATAAAATGGTAGGCGTTTTGGATCCTGTATATTGCAGAAAACATGACAATGAAGAGAATCTAGCAAGGGAAATATTGTTGTTTTAAAAAAATGCAAATCATACCTTGCAACAGGATTCACTGGAATTTGATTTTATTGATATGATATGAACTTTTGCTATATATATATATTTGCTATATATCTATATTTGGAGTCCTGTAGCTCAGTGGTTAGAGCACTCGCTTTGCAAGCGAGAGACCTGGGTTCAATTCCAGTCAGGGCGAAACCTTGGGCAAGTTTCCTTACTCCACACGCCTAATAATAATCCCTCCAAAATCCAAAACAATAATAAATTGGTCATTTTCAATCCATGACTGTTTGTGAGACATTGGTGTGCGCAATTGGCTGTCGTGTTCGCCCACAAATATACAGTCAATTCACTTTACAGTGGTTCTGTGAAGCGCTTTGGGACGTCCACCTGACGTGAAAAGCGCTATATCAAATGCAAGGATTATTATTATTATTATATAAAAAAAGCAAATCTAGAAAGTGTTTGATCGCTTTGTCTGCCATGATCACAAACATGATTAGTTTAGGTTGTTCAAGAGAGGGTGTTCAAGAGAGGAGGTTTGTATTCTTCTCATTGTTCGTGCTGAAGAATGAACAGCGGTGCTAAACTATTGATCCACCATCAACCATTCTAGCTCTGCTGAGGCTTTCTGTGTTTTTCTAATATTAGGAATACAACTGGCAGAATTATCAGCCGAAAGATATGAGCGAATCTGATGAAGCACGGATGCTGGCAAGCTTACGGAGGCAGCAGCTTGAGGAACTGGAAGATGACGGGAAGTCCAATCAGCTGAACGCGGTTCAGCTTGGCTACTGTGTCTATGGTGATGACAGCATCAGCACGAGCAGTGATGACACCAGCATCTGGAGCACCCATCACACAGGTCCAGTGAGTATAGAACAACCACCTTTTTGAGAATTATGCTCAATATTATTTGCAGTTTCCTCCTGGTTTGTGCATTGGAAGTAAGCAGTTTCTTGCTTTTTGCCTTGACATCATTGAATTTCCTTGGAGCTCTACCAACTTCTTACGTTGAGGGAGATAGCATTTAATCAGATTTTATTTTCTGCCTTGCTTGCTCTCTGACTTGTGGACAGGGATGGGAGTAGTGGGTTGCACTCACGTACCAAAGATCTTTAAGATCTATGCAACTTTGTGAATAGTATCTACTTAACATTAAAGGACACTGCAGAGTCAGTACAAAATGCCCTTCATGTTTTCTGCACCATTGGGTTGCAATTTTCCATTCAGCAAATTTGGATTATCCCACCACTGCCAGCAACTCATAAGGGTCAGGAGGCTCATTTCCTGCTTGCTCAGCTGCTAACCTGTGATGATTGCAACCGACCTCTGATTGAGTGGCTTAACTTCTACTGATGGAGATCCATGCCGTTGACGATCGGAAAGTGGTGTTTTCCCAGGCGGGTAGCAATTGAGCATTGCTCTGTAAATGCATTAACGTCTTTAAACCCCGTCTACCAAGAAAATCAACTCAATGTCAGTGCAGTATTTTGTTTAAAAGAGATTGTGTTTGTTAACCTACCCTGATAAATTAATGTGTTAATTTAATTTCTGTATTTGTTGTAGGCCTACAATTTTGTGGATAAATCTACTTGTTATGTGGAAATAGAGTAATCTGGAAAAGTAAATGGAAACTGTTAATCATTACTATGTATTTGCACATACAGTATTTTCTCTTAATAAGAGAGCAAGGAATTTCATGAGAACTATTTTGGGTGATTTAACTTAAACCCTTTATAATAAATAATAAATAGGTGTGGAGAATGAGATGGATGGATTTGTTTCCATTCAAATAAGTGCATTAGCCCAATATGTTTGAATTCATAGGGAAAAAAAATACATTGTCAACAGCATCAAAGATATCAAATGTTCATGGGGACTACAAATGCTTGTCTGTTTGGAGCAATGGTTCCATGCTAAGAATATTTGCAAAATGTTTCAGCGGATTCTACAGACCATATAATTGAAAAAACACATGCAACGTTGTGAACGATATTATTGAATGTGGGGAGTTGACATTGTCAGAGATTTTAAATATTACACAAACACTAGTAGAGAGAAGGCACCAGGGAGCATAATCAATGGTACCTTCTAAGAAAGTTCTGTAAACTGTGCTTGAGATGCAAATTGCACAAAAGGCAACAATGTAGCAAAATTCACTTAATAAATATTTAATAGTTAATTTAAATTAGGTCAACAAATTTAGATCTTACCTCCATAACATTTATAGTATGGAAAAATAGTAACATGCTGGTTTCTCTTAAGCTAGCTCATTTTGTAGCACTCTGAATTCTGAGTCAGAAGATTGTGGGTTCATGCTCTGTGTTAGGACTTTAATCTCTCAAAGTCAAAGTTGACACTCCAATACAGTGCTGGGAGTGCACTGCATTGTTCGATGTGCTTTTCTTCAGATGAGTCATTAAACCAGGGACCCGTCTGCCTGTTTTTTGGATGAATGTTTGCTGGTAAAACCAAAGTATGACTGACAAGCTTTGATCAGATACTTTTCAGCCAAAACCAATGGCTTCACATTGGAAAAGGAAGTATTAATTCAAGATTGTTACCAGAGGAAACAGGGGAGATGTTTGAAGGAATTTCTCCACCTTCAAACTATTGCGTCTATTGAGGTTATGTCAATAGAGTCATTCAAAACTGGAATAAGAATCTGAGCAATAAAATATATTAAGGGCTATAGGGAAAGAGCTGGAAAGTGAGTAATAATAAACAGTTATAATACAGGAAACGTGGCTCAGGTACAATGAGACAAAATGCCTCCTTCTGTGCATGTTTGTAGGTTTTCGTTCTCGATTGCATTCTGCAGACCTGAAAGATCAGTGTTTCATTAGTGTAATAGATTTGATTAAAGAGAAGCTCCAATCAATGTACTTAGAGCTCAAGAAATGAAGTGCTCTTCAATGAACAAGTACAGTTTTATAAGGCCACTAAAATGATCACTGTCAGTGAATCACTTGAAAATGTGTTTGTGTAGCAATCAAGTGACAATGGGATCATGCTCAGCTGAGATTTTTTCTCCCTTCTCTTATTGGCAATTGGCAAAAAGACCATTGACAAAACGAGCCTGCTACTATTTACTGGCTGGCTAGTATAACAACAAGATTACATTACATAGTGGAGAGATAGTAGAGAGTTGCCAGTACCCACGGAACTAAACCACTTTCAGAGGAAAGGAGAAACATTATAGATATCTTGTTCAGTTTTGCACATCATCAATTCAACCAGTCTCAACAACCTCTCTGTGACTGTGATCTGTCCCTCTGCATGACACATTGCCAAGGAAATGGGATCAGGCTTCAATATGAGGGAAGCTACAGCTATAGCTCTTCACACTGGAGCAAATTGAAAATTGATCTGCCATATAACAGCAGGAAAGGGCCTGTCACTTTCCATTACTTTAAAAAAGAATGTAATTTTGCATTAATGTGACTGGTGCTATTGTTTGATTATGGTTGAATTTTAACAGTGAGAGTATTAAGTGCTGCGTATAAGTATGATTTGGGGCAGGTAGCTTCTTCATTTAAAAAAAATTACAAAAAGTAAATGTAAGCAAAGTGATGTCGAGGGAGCTTATTGTCACTAAGCACAAACAAGTTACAAAACGATTATTGCACTGAATTGACCTATCTGGCAGTGATTAAGCAAACATTTCAAAATTCAACAAGGTGACCTCGCTTTTTGTGTTATTTTTCCCAATTTTTTTTGTTCTGTGAACTACTGAATAAATGCTATTTGTAAGCTTTTGGTATTTTAATAATGTTTTGTTGAAGAACAGGCATTTGTAATGGCTAATCTTCACATTCGTGGTCTGTTTGACCTCAGTCATTTCATGCATGAACAGAAATTCCAGATTTAAAAAAAGGTTCAATAATTTCCCCATAGCCTTACTTCAAGTGGAACACCACTTAGGTTACAGCACCACCAAGGGGCAAATGCTGAATTGCAAATCACATAGTTTAAAAAAGACCATTGCACCAAAGTTCAAATTTGTAATTTTGCCTTGCAGAATTACATTTTTTTTCCACAAGAATCAATTTTGGTTTATACTCCTGATATTAATTAAATGGAACCTTTCTTGCATGACATGTTCTGAAAGTATTTAGAAAACCCAAAGTAGTTGCTGTGAACTAAACTTTTGCTTTTTAAAAAAAATTCTAAATGATTACAGTCAGGATAAAGTATAATTGACGATAGCCCGTCCTTGTGGCTCTTGCACCTGAATAAGAACAATTTGACATGTTTGACAATGTAGCCGAAAATAAAACCAAATGTAACCCCTTGGGTCTTCTGGATGAGGAGGCCTATTAATGCACAGCAAAATGTGCCTGGTGGTTAAATGGACCAAACAATACAAACCATTTGCTTTATTACCACGGAGAATGGTTTATCTTTTTATTTAATTGTCACATTTCAGATCAGAACTTTTTCCTTTTTCTTCTTAAAATAACATACCAACAAACACGCAAAACAAGCAAGTATGAAATGGAGTAGGAATTGAAAGGGAGTTTCTCCCTGTGTCCTAGTCAGGAATCCCCAAGATAAAAATGGTCATACATTTCAAGGCAATTTGTGGGACATTGTTGTGTGCAAATTGACTGGCGTGTTCCCCTAAAAAATACACTGTCACTATAATTTACAGTAAATTCTGTGAAGAGTTTTCAGACATTCTTTGTGAAAGGCACAATATCAAATGTAAAGATTATTAATTTATTTATACATACAATGTTAATAAAAAACTTTGTCTTAATAACATTAAAGAAAACAATTTTCAACAAGGCTATTGTCTTGATTTACCACAATTCAACGTGAAATCAAAGATCTATGTCAATTTTGTTTATTTACAACCATTGGGTTTTAAAAGTTGCAATTTTTACCCTATTATTTGTTTAAAGAGAGATAGGTCTACAATTTTGCTCATTAACCCCTCCCCAAAGCCCTTTAAGATAACGAGGTCTTTAAGATAACGGGTTGCACTTAAAATGAACACCTATTGTGACACCTTCTTCCATTGTACATAATTGAAGGCCATTTTTTTTCCTCTTTTACATGAAACAGTGTAGAATTGTGTTACTTGCAACACTTGCAAAACTACTTCAAGATCTAATTTTATTTAACAGGCTAATGAGTTTTTTGCATCAAACCACTGGATAGATTGTGCAATTAGAAAGTGAATAAACACAGCTTGTTGTGGCTCAACTCAGGGACATGTTTCCCTGGAATTTTATATTCAGTCTTTCTATATTCTAGAAAACATTTCGGAGGATCAGCCTCTAGACTATCACATTGAAAAGTGAGTCTTTTGCAGTTCACCTTTTAACTTACAGCTTTTCTTGTCTTTTACAGCCAGTCAATCAGGGGCATCACTATCAAAATGAAATGCTTTTGACTTTGTCTCAGAAAAAAATGAATCCTCTTCTTCTTTCCAATCCACGGTAAGGATAACAACAACAACTTGCACTTATATCACGTCCTCCATGCCGAGCGGCGTACCAGAGCGCTTAACAATGGTGGAGCCCGATGCCAAGCCAGGGGAAGGGGGAAGGTGACAACAGGCACGCTCGAAGAGGAAGGTCTTCAGACACAACCTGAAAATGGGGAAAGAGAAGGCAAGGCAAAGGGATTGAGGGAGGGAGTTCCATAGCATAGCTTTGGGGTGTAGTGGCTGAAAGCATGGCCACCAATGATGGAGGGGAGGATTCAAGGGGCAAGGAGGAGGCTGGAGCCAGTAGAGCGGAGCAGGTTTGAGATAGGGCGGTAGTGCTCGAGGTTGGAGAGGTTGAGGATAGGTTTTTTTAAGGAGGGGGTTGACGATGGTGGTTTTGAGGGGGAGTGGGACTGATCCTGAGGAGAGGGACTGATTAATTGTTTCTGCCAGCAGGGGGCAGAGGAAGAAGAGCTGCGTGATCAGCAGTCGGGTGGAATGGGGGTCAAGGCAGCAGGTGGTGGATTTCATCAAGGTGATGGAGGATGAGAGGGAGGAAGGAGAGATGGGGGCAAAGAAATGTAGGATGGTGGCCGTGTTAGGAGCTGAGCGGGGAGTGGGTGAAAGAGAAGGAATGGAGGGGGTGGTTGGGGCACAGGGTAGGAGGTTGAGGCTGCCAGGCTGATGTTTTCTATTTTAGAGGTAAGGAAGTCCATGACGTCTTCACACTTGGCGTTTGATGTGATGATTGAGGGTACTTCAGGGGGTGCACGGAGGAGATGGTGAGTGGTGGAGAAAAGGATTTTGGAGTTATTTTTGGCCTCCAGAATGATCGTTGAGTATTATGCAGTTTTTGCTTGTGGGAGGGTGCGACGATAGGTGTGAAGGTGCTCGAGCCACAGCTAGCAGTGAACCGTGAGGCTGGTTTTCAGCCTCCTGCGCTCGAGTGACCGGGTCTGTGATTTTAGGGAGCGAAGATGGCTGTTGTGCCAGGGGGAGAGGGTGGGTTTGGAGACGGTCCTGGATTTCAGGACAAGGGAGTTGGAGGTGGAGGATAGGCGATCATGGAACAACTTGATGGCTGCATCAGGGTCGCTGTGGGTGGAAGGCCAGAGGAAGAGGAGGTCTGCGGATGAGAGGGCATTTGTGAGACTCGGGGGAAGCCTTTTCCGTGGGCAGAAAAGGATGGTGGAGGGCTTGATGAAGGCGAAAGAGATGCGAGAGAAGAGAGAGATGAAGAAATGGTCTGAGATAGCGTTGTCCATGATGGACAGACCGGAGATATCTAAGCCGTGGGTGATAACAAGGATACTTGATGATAATATATTTTGGACATTCAAGAGAACAATCAGAGCTTCCTTTTAATGTATTTTGCCTTTAGATAATAAGAATCCTTGCATTTGATATAGAGCTTCACAGAATATACTGTAAAGTGAATTGCCTGTATTTTTTTGAGCAAAACATGGCAGCTAATTGTGCTATTTCCTCTATTGTGATGGTGTGTCAACTAGTGGTAGATTGGGGGCAACATTTCCTTTTAGTTTGCTAATCAACTCAGAATTAGACATGTTCATCGGTTGGAAAGTCACAAGGTCAATAATAATCCTTGCATTTGATATATCACCTTTCACATTGTGAGGATGTTCCAAAAAAGTACTTCACGGGATTCACTGACTGTGGTAATTTGTAGAATACAACAGCCAACTTACACATACAATGTCTCACAAACTCATGAAATTTCACCTGACGGATTGTTGCCAGGACGTAGGGAGAAACTCCCTTCTTTTTTAGAATAGTATCATGAGATCTTTAATGCCCACCTGAATAGGCAGTAAGATCTGGTGAGCGTCTTATCTGAAGATGCTGGCACCTCCAAAAATGCAGCGAACCACCAGCATTGTATTGGAATGTCAGCCTGGAAGACAATGGACTTCAAAGTCCCAACATTGACCTTGAACCTACAACCTTCTAACTGGGAGGCAATAGTGCTATCAACGCAGCCACTGTGTCAGGCTGGCACTGAAAACAACTGAAATGCTTTAGAAGGTTTAAAGCAACTGGAATAGTGGATGATTGATAAGTGAAGTAAAAGGTTCTAAAGAGTAATTACGGTGTAAAGAGAAGATTGGAAAAGCAAATTGCAATCAATACGAGGAAATACAAATAGAGCGTGTGACTATTTGTACCAAAGAGCAAGTAGGATCTCCAAGGATGTGACATAAGAAGGCATGGTTGGCTAGGTACGTAGTATTTCTTTTCAATTATTGTAACAAACCTTTGGGTACCGACCAGTATTGTGGAAGCCTGCTAAAGTGTGGTTTTTGGGCTGTGAAGACTGAGAACCAACAGTGTAGAAGGCAGGTAGAGAGGGCCATTAGATTGTACCGGAGATGGGGTGGGGACTGTGATAAGGAGATGAAATGCGTAAGCCCCCAGGAAACTCTTTCTCTCTCTTTCTTTCTCTCCGGTACTCCAAGAAGTGCCAGGGAACAAAGAGACTGGCCAGGCAATGTGGAGAACACCATTGTTGAGTACTGAGGAGGGGAAATTGTGAAGAAATACTTGAAGTATCCCATTCTTTTTACAGTAAAACTCAAACTATGGGTAGACATAGGTGAAAGTGTGTTATTCCCTGCAAGGACATGCAAGTTCAAATTCTTGCTTTGTTGCTCTTTGTTGCCAATGCACAACTCTTCTGACCTAACTTGGTCCATGGTTTAGGAGCATGAAAGGAATTAATGTGGTGGGTACACAGAGGTATTTGTGTGAAAGCTGGTGGAAAGTAAACTGTGGAAGCTTCCAATTAACAATCATTTAAAGAGCAACTTCTTGAACTTGGTGTGTATGGAAAAGATCCACTGCAGATGTTGCTGCCTCAGATAAGCATGTCAAAAAGGAATACGCCATACAATTCTGAATTCATTGGCAATAGTTCATGCTATCACTGCAATTCACAGTTTGCTGGCACAACAACACAAATAACAATTTGCCTTCTATGCCTGCTTTCATGTCAGAAAAACAACTCAATGGGAACCTGAGCTAGGAGGGAGATAGGAGGAGTAGGGAAGAGGTAGCTGAAGGAATAGTCAAAGAAATTTTTTTAGGTGGGTTTTGAAAGCTGAGAGAGAGATTGTAGATGGTGGTGGTGGAGGGGACAGAGTGGTAATGGTGTTGAAGGTACTGGAGGGATTGTTTGTGATTTTGACCAGGGCTGTCTCAGGAACTGGAGAGTTTGGGAGGGTCAAGTGTTGATTTGTTTGAGGAGGGGAATTACAGCAGTTTGATGGGGAAAGGGGTACTGTGCCAGATGAAAGGAATGTGTTGATGGCATTGATTAACAGGGGTAAGAAGCAGCAGCTGGGTGTGCAGGAGCTATGTAGGGATGAGGTCAAGGGAGAGGGTGGTAGGTTTTGTGCAAGAGATGAAGAAGGAGAGGAATGAGAGAATGAGGGGATCAAAGGTGTGAAGAATGCTAATTTCCATTGCCTTCCAGCTCTGCACATATCAGAGGCTTGCTTTGCATTGTTTCAACTTTTACTCAAAAGCATGAAGGATTACACACTCAGCACAATCAAAAACTACTTTAAACATACTTTATTTTGACTGAGAGGTGCATTAAACATGGAATGAATGAGGAGATTCTTACACCTTTATACAAAATAAACAACATTGCAGGTTATGAGAGATGTTTCTCGCATTCACGCTGGTCTTGAGATTTCAAAAGTTAGGTGACGTTTTGCGCTGTAACAGTGTTACTCAGCTCCTTCAGCACCTGGTGCACTACCCTTATGACATAGAATTATTCTGTTGTAGTATTGTATGGACAAACTCAACACCAGAACAGCCTTGCAATTATCTTACAAAGAAGCAGTCTTGTGACAGACCATCCACATCCTAGCTAGTCAGCCACAGCTGCTACTCAACCTTTTTTAATTTGTTGTCCCCATTTTACCCCCGTATTAATAATGGTAACAAAATATGTCAATTGTTTGGATCATTCTTTGGCCTTGGAGAGAGTGCAGAAGGGATTTACCAGAATGGTACCAGGATTAAAGGGCTTTAGTTATGTGGAGAGACAAGAGAAGCTAGGGTAGTTCTCCTTTAAGCAGAGAAGGTTAAGGGGAGATTTAATAGAAGTGTTCAAAATTCTGAGTTTTGATAGAGAAACTGTTTCCACAGACAGGTGGATCAATAACCAGGGGACGTAGATTGAAGTTAAATGGTAAAAGAACCATAAAAATTACATTTGTATAGCGCCTTTCACATTGGGTGGATGTTCCAAGGTGCTGGACAATCAGTATTTCGAACCTAAGCTGGGGATCCGGATGGGGAGGATGGAGGGCACGGGGGGGTGATCGAATACATGATCGAAGAGGAGGGTCTTGAGACAGGGAGAGGCAAGGGAGGGGCCGAGGTGGAGTGACTGCGGGTTGGAGTTCCAGAGGGTGGGGGCAGAGTGTCTGAAGGCCAATGGTGGGACAAGTGACGCGGGGAACGTGAAGCAGGCCCACTGAGCAGAGGGAGCGGACAGGTTGGTAGGGGTTTAGGAGAGGTAGGGGGAGCAAGGCCATGAAGGGCTTTGAAGGTGAGGACCAGGATCTTGAACTGTATCCTCTATGTGATGGGAAGCCAGTGGAGTTGGGCAAAGATGGGGGTGATAGAGGTACGGAACCTAGTGCGGGAGGTCACGGGCTGCAGAGTTCTGGATGATCTGCAGCCTATGGAGGGAGGAGTTGGAGAGGCCAACAAGCAGGGAGTTTGCATAGTCAAGCCTGGATGTTATGAGTGCGTGTATGAGGGTCTCTGCGGCCTGCAGTGTGAGGCAGTGGCGGAACCGGGTGATGTTGCAGAGGTGGGGGAAGGCAGAGAGGGTCGTGGCACGGAAGTTGGGTTAGAAAGGATAGGTGAGGGTCAAACAAGATGCCAAGGTTCCGGACTGGCTTAGTAAGGTGGAGAGTCATCCTTCATGGTGATGCTATCAGCGCCTGAGGTGTGGAGGCGCTGGCGGGA